CAGAGGGAAAAAATGCATCAGGGTACCAAGGAAAATAAAACAGTTTATTAGGATCTATGATAAAATTTAATAAGTGCTTTTTGAAGTGTTTCTACTCAAGAAGGTTACTTTTGAATCAGATACTGGTATGAAGGAACCCTGCATTACAAGAGAACAATCCTTAGGCATACATGTTGTAGTCAATGATCAAGGGTTTGCAATGCATTTTAGGGCTATTTCATACAAGAATCAATACTGCATCAAAGCAAAAGGACAGATTGACTTCTTTTCTTATGTTGCATGTTTTAGAAGCAAAGATCTTTCAATACGATTTTCTAGAAGGACATAATGTGTGACAAAATAGCCGCTATTGATCATCAACACAGAGAAGTGTAGTCGCCAAAACCAGAATTTGTGGTCGTCAAGGATGAAATGTCAGTTGCATTGGCGACCGTGTCACTCGCAATTTCGAGTCCTGGGGTGGCTTTTAAAATACTATGCCTGTGTTAAGTCCGAAGTCTTGTAAAAGGAAAGGGTCAAATTGGCCCTTTTTTCGTTTTTCTGGGGGCCATCTCTGATTGCAGCACAGGATTCCCGCAATGGCGCACTCTGGCGGAAACACTGTTCTCATGATGCGTGATTAGCTGATTTTATTTTTCATGAAATGTCAATTAAGAAATTATTCTTTGTGATCCGTGAGAACTTGAATAACTGATATTTGTGATTTCACCACTCTAATGTATGTGATTTTGAGATGCGGGTCCTCTGAATGGTTAGAGTCGTCTATCCAGAGTGACAAGTTTAGGTACGCGATTTGCAATACGGAGTCTTGGCCTGGCTTTTCACAATTTGTCTTTCTTCAAACACTCCTTCTAGCGTAAGAGTAGAGCTTACGAGTAGAGCGTAAACTCTCTAGTGTAAGCATAAGAGTAAATCGGTAGAGTAGTAGAGTAGTAGCGTAAGTATCTTACTTGCTTATTTTCTTAATGCGGGAAAACAAAATTTTTATATCCGTGATCTGCGACCCTCTACTTTTTTTGTTCGCCCAGAGACCCCCCCCCCCCCC